GGGAGCTGTTTCGTTGACAGGGTTGGGGTGGGCAAGGACTCACGGAAGAGTTGGGTGGGGAGAGGGTTTGAATGTGCACCTTTTTTGTTGTTACTACTGCATAACCTGCTCGCCACTGCCACATTGACGACTAGCCAGCCCACCTCTCCCTGTATGTATCCCCAATAACTAATATGTATATATCCCCAAAGACTAACAGAACCCCTTGCTCAGATGCTACCTGGACCCCTTACATCCCTGGTAATAGTTATGATACACTTATTGGCTGTGATTAAATCCCCATCCATCTAGTCACCAGGTGGGATTGACAATGAAAGCCCAGGGCCAGCCTCCGAAATTGGCATCATTCATGCTGTGAGTCCCAGTCCTGGGGTCTACCCCCCCCCCCCCATATCCACGGATGTGCGGATCTGACTGGCCCAGAAGCAAGAAAAAAGCTTTCCCTGACAGAGTCCCATCTAAGGTGTGAACCAACATCCTAGTCTCTCTCGTAGGAAACCATGACCCCTCCATGTAGGCTGGATAGAAGCGGTAGCCCACTAGGCCCCTACGAACCACCACCTAAACATACACTACATTTCTAACATTTGCACTCTGAATCCCCTATGCACACACTAGATCCCCTGTAAGCAAACACACTACATGCCATAAATGCCACTCTTTACAACCCCTACACACACACTGCATCACAAACACACATACACTATAGTCCACTCTATACTTACCTAGCCACACATATTACAACAAAAACACAACACAACTGAAACCGATCTATTTACACAAAACACCACACCACAATCGGCTCACTCTACACACGCAATCCCACAAGAAGGCTTCAAACACATGTAAAATAGGCTTTTGTCCTCTGGTATCCCACTAATGGAGACACCAGAGACAAGTCCCAAGCAAATACAGTGCAAGCATGTTAATAGATTTGCTTGTGCTGTGCAGAACAAATACAGGCCCTTTTTTTCATACTTACTTTGAGAGGGGGCGTGTTTGTCAGCGGTGATGAAAAAAGCACCCTCTCTCTAGCGCCGCCCCTTTCCCAGTGGGCCGCTGTGATGCAAAAATGCCGGGGCCAAATGTTTTTTCCCTGTCCGGCACCTGCCACTCATCCTCGTACTAACTTCAATGAACCACTCAAATCAACAGTATAACTGGGCAATATATTTATTAAATTAAATAAAACTTACAAGAAGAAAACATATAATCGTATATAATGCATTTTGACCTAATCAAGGTCTACTCCCAGTGCCGTTTTTTAAAAAGGGCAAAAAAAAAAAAAATTCCTCTCTATAAAACATTAACATTATTTTAATACATGTATTTAATTTTTTGTATAATTGATTGATAGATTGTTGATAGATAGACATACAGATAGCTGTGCGTGTGTATATATATATATGTATATATATATATAGAGAGAGAGAGAGAGAGAGAGAGAGAGACAGAAAGAGAGAGAGAGAGAGAGATGTTAGAGGTTACTGATAGCTGTTAATGTTTCTTCATTGAGTATTATTATCTAGGAAACTTTAACAAATGTGTGGTTTGTTACAAATACATTGCATGCACGTGTAATAGGAAATGTGTATAATTTTAACATCTCTTTATAAAGATTATTTGACCATTTCTTTTTGGGGGGTAAAAATGGTATTTGAAAGTATTAAACTGATGCACACCCTCGGCCACGCATAGCCTACATTACTGGATGGATAGACAGATAGATAGATAGATAGACATACAGGTAGCTGTGCGTGTAATTATATATATAGACAGAAAGAGAGAGAGATGTTGGAGGTTACTGATAGATGTTAATGTTTCTTCATTGAGTGTATTATTATCTAGGAAACTTTAACCAATGTGTGGTATGTTACAAATACATTTCATGCACGTGTAAATGTGTATTAAATATCTATAAATTGCAGCTCCAGTGTATTATGGTGTAACAGGGATATTGACAAAGGCCACTACTTATTTTAAAAAAAAATTATCTCTCTCCCCTTGTCTTGTGCCTTCCATAACACACATCTTCAACTGCTCTCTCTCTTCTGGCGTTCACCCTGCTGACCTTAAACATGGCACTGTAGTACCCATCCTGAGAAAAACATCTCTTGATCCGTCCTTCCCTTCTAACTATCGTCCTATATCCCTGCTCCCTTTTTCCTCAAAGCTTCTGGAAAGACTTGCCTTTACCCATATGTCTCACTTCCTCAATTCCAACTCTGTCTTTGACCCTCTTCAATCTGTTGTAAAGCGCTATGGAATCTGTTGGCGCTATATAAATGGCAATAATAATAATAATAATAATAACTTTATAATATGTAAGGTGCTACTCTCAGCAAGATGTGGTGCTAGATAATTAACTTGACAAATTCAGGACAAATTACCAAGACTGGAAACATTTACAAAATATTTTTTTCCCAGTTCAGCTATCACACTCCCATGATAGGTTCACTATAAACCCCTCTATAGGCAATGAACATACCATTTATCATACATATTTATTTATTTATTTATAAAATATTTTACCAGGAAGGATACATTGAGATTTCTCTCATTTTCAAGTATGTCCTTGGTAAATTATACATTACATTTTTGTAATTAAGGATTTTATTAGTTATATCAAAATATATTTAATTTTACATTTAAAAACTTATACAATACTAACCCTAATTTCAGCACTACCAACTTTGTGAGTTTTATACTATTGTAGCAGTCCCAGGTGCTCTCAATAGCATCTTTTGTAGAATTGGCCCTCTCTGCATACTTCTCAATGACCCAAAAACAGAGTTTGGCCTTGAGTTAACATTTGTTTAGATAAGCTTTTCAAATTATTTAATATTTTTGGATAAACATTTAGACCCATATAATATTTTGAAAAATATTTTTATATTTTAATTTTTATATATATATATATATATATATATATATATATATATATATATATATATATATATACAAAGTGTATGTGATTAGGAATATGTGTAAGTAGAGGCCGGAAAAAGACCAAGAAATGCATAGACAGCATACGAATGCTATACTAAAAAAAGTGGAAAACCTATGGACCTTTCACAGCAATATAAAGGATATTAACACAGGATCATTAATGAAATTAATGAATGCAGATATTCGAATTGATCTTTTAATATAATAACATATATTATGGGATTTTTTTCCATTTCTATATTGTGACTGTTTTGGATGGGAAGATGTGCTTGAATCCTGCTGTTTATTTATTGCCAATCTGTGGGTACCTGATGAACGTTTTTCAACATTTGTTTGTTTTTGCTGGGTTTTTACAGGGGGTTATTGTGTACAAGTTATCTGATTTTGTTCCATAGTTTGCTCTGTTTATTTGCTTGCCATAAGCCCATGGTGACTCCAGTGGCTACTCAGTTTGTTAGTTTGTAGAAAAATGATGGTGCATCACCTGTATATCTCAAGTTGGACTTTGGAAAATCCCTTTGACGCTGAGAATCTCTAAAAAATCATGTTTTCAGAACTATCGCAGAGTCCCCGGCTAGACATGCAAATGAGTACGAACAGGTATTGTGCTTCAGACCTCACACATCAATTCTGCAGATACCCTTAGCAATGGGTGATGCTTTAAACATAGCTTTTTAAAACCATAGCTTGGGTTGTAATCCAAAAGGACAAGGGACCAGAAACCAGACATGGACTGCAGGTTCAACCTTGTGAGATTGGTCAGCATGGTGCCAGTTATGGTCTAGAAGCTGGAGTCTCTCTGAGAGTGTCTAGCTAGGTGAATAAAATATTGTGGTGAGACTAAACACAATAAAACACAGTACAGCACAAAATGTGCATGACCTGCATAGCTCAAATGTGTCTTTGAAAAATCGGCATTGGGCATGTTTTCACAGGTGGTGTACAACCGTAATATTCTCATTACACTGTGGGGAGTTTTATTGTATTTGGTGTCACCAAGCGCTTGAATTTCTGCATGAGCTGCTCAAGTGTACGTGGTTTGTTCACATACACCAACACCTTCAGATAAGGAGGTAATTGGAAGCTGAACGGTCTAGCAGACATGGTGTCCAATTATAATGGGAAAAAAAATTATATTATCTGTTTGCCAAACAGTTGCCTTAGCTTTGAAAATAAAATTCCACTATTTTTACTCGTTGCTCTTTCGTTAAAATTACCCATGATAAATCTCCCTAGACTCAGTTATAATGTGTACCTGCAACAAAAAAATGTAACTTCTAAAAAAAGTTATTTGCCTGTGAAATCCAATGGATGGATGGATGGATATATTGAAGGATGGATAGATGGATAGAGATATACAAAAATCTATTGAGGCTAAGGAAGTGAGCACTGATGATGTTTCTCCATCCCAGGCAGAGAATGATGATATTGTCAGGATCTCATTACTGGGCTGTCTATACTGGGATATTGATTCTGGTGCAGAGGGGAACCACTGGGCAGTTATGTAATTAGTGTTTAATATAACATCACTTTCTGAAAAAAAAAAAAAAAACTTCATAAAGTTCTCTGAACATGTGCCATGATGGGATATAATGAGAACATGCCAGACTAAGAAAACGTGAAATACAACAAAGTTGAAAATTCAGGGGTGGAGCCTAAGCAGCAAACTGGCAAGACGTGTGCAGCAGGAACTCCTGCCACACAGGCGCTGATAATGTCTACCTTCCGAGCTACTGAGCTAAATTCCTCCTACCAATGTGCCCACGACAAAGGGGACACCTGCCGGAACCCATCAACGCCAAACCCGACGCCCGGGATGATCGAGCACCGCAATGGCAGAGTGAGGCCTAACTCAGGAGAAGGCGAGGAAAGACGAACACTTTCCCACCACAGGCAAACAGCCGCAAGCGTGTATAATATATTTCCCCCCCCCCATGGAGCGGTGGGGGAGATCCCGGTCCCCTCCAGGCAGAGAGCCCCACATTCTGCACCACATGAGTATGCCTGCAACCCCTTCAAGCAAGGTACCCAAGATGGCTGGGGTACCCAAGATGGCGGACACAAGCGCAACCAGCATGCAAGACGAGCAATGGCCTGCCAGACAAGGCACCGACGCCCAGGCAAGAGACTCAATCAGTGTAATATTTGACTGTTTTTGGGCCAAGCTACAGGCACACATGCTGTCAGCAAGGCCAAACAGCGTGAAGCCAGCGAGACACACAGTCCAAGAGGAGGGGAGACCTGGGAAACCTCCTCAGGGCGCCAAGGAGCACCAAGCGACAAACCCCCGAGATGGGGGTCTTCCCGGGCTGGGAGCAATAGGGTGCCAGCCACACCGGCGGAAAGGGACAAGAGGTAACCAACCGAAAACTGAGAAAAACACCCACCGCAACATCCCAACAGGGAAGACCCTGGGCCACTACGGAGCCCAAGCTCGTGGCACAAGAGCACCAGCTCCCATACAGCGCTGGGGCAGAAGGGCACAAACGACACACCACAGATCCAGACGCTCCTCTGGAGGACTGAACTTGGGCCCATTACGGAAGCCCCAGGGCCGGAGTACACAGACTGCCCTACCCAGCAGAAGACAGACGCCGAAAGCAGGCAAGCACAACCAACGCCCGGCAGGGCTGCAAGACCACCTCCGGACAAGCCCAGCGGCACCCAGGACCCCCACGGCCACACTCGATGACCACCCTAAACAAGCAACCACATCGTCCAGACAGGGCATTGGCTGATTCATACAACCAGAGACTCACAGGGACTTTCAGGCTGTGCCAAGCCGAGACATTGGCTGACAGTGCCAAGTGATCCCAAGCAAGGTGCCTTATCCTACCCACGACTTGAAGCTACCCAGTTAATTTTGAGCTAGCCCAATTGGCTTGTAACACCACATTGATCAGAATCAGAAAGTTGGGCCAATGTGTACATAGCCTGTTATAGCACACCTCGCTAGCATGTAACACAACCTACACACTCTCAATTACTATGCTACACCACTTCAGTCATAATCATAAAACCAACATAATTGCTTAAAACTATTCAAGCTCCTCTGGCAAGCCCACCGCTCACAAGCTATGTTAACACGCATGATTCATGCATTGTACACTCCCTTTCAATGCTGATGCTTAATGATATTATTGACCTAGCATGTTTATAATATAAAACTGTGCCTGTTACCTAAATGTCCCACATGTTACGCAAGGAGATACGCCTGAGGGCCGCTATCGGGGCACCTCAAGCCTGTTTATACTATTTCTATGCACAACAAAAATAACAATAAAATTTTTTAAAAGTTGAAAATTCACTCCAGAAAAATGTTTTATTTAAAGAAACAGCGGATAATACTCATTCATAACTTGAGGTATAATTAAATTTTGATCCAACTTGTGGAGAAACCATCTAGACAAATGAGTCAGTAGAGACACTGTTGTGTTGAGCTAAAAAATACAAATAGAAAATTAGACTGGCTTGACTTCCAACACAGTCAATGTGAATATTTCATAAATATTTTATCTTTAGGAAACACTCATTGTTGATGCAAGAGTGACAGAGTTTATTTAAGTAACAACATGGGATTTAGGTGCATCTGCCCCAAAAAACCCAAGGGGGAATACAGAACATTTAGGAATTAAAAATCAAGTGAGCCATAAACTAGATTCAATACATTCACACTAAAATCATACAAAAGGTCAAACACATTCACAGAAGTCCTGCTTCAAAATATATTTATCTAAATGACTTACAGAATGTTTCAACCAAATTATAAAAGTATTTTAAAAAAGATTAATGTATATTGACCTTTATCATCCACAAGGGCTTGTTTGGAACATCAAACATTACTTGGCGTTTGATAAAAGCACACATTTCCATAACAACGTCAAACATCAACCAATTAGTGTTCTCAAACAATATGACCAATAACATACAAACCACTAAATAAACACATTTACCAACTGCCAATCCGTGGCAGGGGACAAAGAAGAAGGTTTCGAAAGCTGGTTAGAAAAGAATATCGGCAAATTAGATATTTACTTATATTGTTGCATTATAAACATGCTTATATAAACCCGTCTTACACAAAACACACACTTCATAATTGTAATTTAAATATAGCTGCTATATTCACATTCAAACTTCTGGGAATAAATCTATAACCACAATATTTACATTGCGTAGCCATATCATTCTCATATAATTCCAAAACCAAAAATAGTTGGGAAATGGAATGGAGAAGAGATTACAAGTGGGACCTGTAAAATAGATGAAACCTTGTGGATTGAGATACAATAGAAGAATAATGGTTGAATGGTTTAGATAGAACAGGGAGAATTATACCAACAATTGGGGTTAAGGAGAAAAGAACAACAATGCAGCCTTTAAGGTCGTCACTCTAAACTTTTCTTGTGTAATTAGAATGAAAAATGGATCTCTAAGTTGACATGGGTAAAATAAGGGTAAGGGAAATTCACGAATTGCTGTACATCTTTAAAGTTTGTGGTTGTTGAAATATCAACATCAATCATCATATATCAAGAGTGTGTTTGGCACATGGTGTATACAGCCATAGGAAGAAGGACAGTGTATCCCCTTTCTTCAAAAGTCTGAAGAAACCAACACTTTAGCTCTAACTAACAGTTGTTCCTATTCTTTCTGCTTAACTAAAAAGTTTATCTCAAATGGAAGGGGCATTTCCGGCGGTGGTTTGGTTGTATAGACCTGGTAGTGGTACGCGAGTCCGGGCAACCCGCTAATAGAGGCGACCCTAAGGGTGTGGTGCTCAATCAGGATGAAACTAGGGCTCACGACGATGCCAGGTCTGCTTAACCCAGTGACATTCAACACAGAAATAGCGGGCGGCCTTACACCCAGGGACGTTGCCGCATTCAGCGAACAAGACTGGACCTATATGCACCAGTGGTGCAACTCCAGCACGATAAAACCGCCAATAATAATAACCAAGCTGGTGCCGAACAGGTCCCAGAGGGCACTGAATAGACTCCGCTACTTCCAGGTCAAGGCTTACATAGCCCAGCTAGGTAAATACCTACCCACAGATCACTGAATGGGTTCAAAGGGCTGTGCAGGGAGCGGGCACATCTACCCCAGGGGGTCTCGGCTGTATACACGCTCCTGATCGAGCTCTGACCAATTCGAACCAGCAAGGCACGTGGCACGCTGGGAATGGGCAACTGGAGTAACGCTTTCTGAGCCTCAGTGGTCCAAGATAAATATATATATGTTGGCCCACCAGAGCTCAGTGTGCTCCAAACAACAGGAACTCAATTTCAAACTACTGATAGGATGGTACCATGCTGCCTGAGGTCTCGGACACCTGTTGGAGATGTGAAGAGCAGGTGGGCTCTGATCTTCACATATGGTGGTCTTGCGGCACTATAACTCCATTCTGGAAAGCCATCCATGCAACAATCAACAACATACTGGACACAGACTTGCCATTCCAGCTGCTGCCAATGCTCCTTCATCACACAACTATGCCAATCTCCAAATACAAGAAGTCGCTTACCAGACATTTCCTTAACACCGTCAAATCTCTCATTCTAGCGAGATTGCGCTCGAACCAAGTGCCCACACCCCAACAGTGGCTGGATAAAGTCGAAGAAATACATGAGCTGGAGAGACTCACAGCATCCCTAAATAAAACTATGGACCGCTACCTACAAAGTTGGGCCCTTTGGATTTACTTCCTATCAAATCGATAGTCTTAAAACCTGAAATCTCACCCAACCGATACACAACGAAAAAGACAGTCAACACTCAACATGCCCCGGAGATCGCGGGGGGACGCATTGGTGGGCGGCTCGTGGGTTGAGGGAGGGGACGGAGATGTGAGAGTAATGGCACTCAACGACCTGAAAAACACATAGCACAATGTGATGGACACTCCAACCCATGGAGCTGAATCCCCTAACGCAGTAGGATTAGCCATGTTTAGGGTCCCTGGCAGTAGACATATACACTAGGGCTGGAAATGGAGACAAGACGTGAAATTGCTGTTACTGTGTCTTAATGTACCACGACATACCCTAAACTTGTGTTATAACCACAGTCGATGTACACATGGCTCTACAGTGTAATTGATACTAACTTCAAGATGTACTTATTATACATTTTCTAAACATACGGTATTATTCCCTGCAAATACTGAAAAATAAGGATTGATTGGAAAAAGTAGCGAGATGGGACATATTTCACAATTGTACTGTTTTATAGATGTGACTTTTGTATGTTTTTTGAGTGTATCCTGGAACGTGTCACTAATGCACAGTTCTCGTATTCTTTTTTCTGTATCTTCTTTGTTTTTGAAAATTCAAAATAAAGATTGTCAAAAAAAACAAAAACTAAAAAGTTGATTCTTCTGCATTTATTTGTACTTTGTTCACGATCTTTGAACAAGCATAACAGAGAGGTCTCCATCAACTATGCTTATTACCATAATCATTGATCTTCTCAATGACGGCATCAAAATGTATTTAATATAATGTATTATAACAAGGCACTCATTTATAACATAATTCAGATAAATGCAGTAAATATAGCATTTATTTTACCCTAGCATCATTTTTAAATTATATTCAGATAAAAGAAAAGACAAAAGTAATATAGTTTTAAATTTTACAACGTTACTTAAAATCACCTATCTTAGTTTAGGCAGTAAGTATTGCAGGTAGCATGTTAGTTTAAGCAGTAAATATTGCAATTAGAGTGTTAATTTCCCATGTCAAAATTGGTTTGGGACCCACAGTTATTGGGGTACTATATGGTAGTGGTGGGCTTAACACAATATGGCCATATGGTGGAACTAAATCCCCATATTTGTTTATTAAGATTTCGTAGCCTTATAAAATTTACAACTGTCTTATTTTGTGTGTGCTGTTTATTAATTTGTAATGTGTATATATTTTGGTCTTTATGGGCAGCATCATTACCTCAAAATGAGGGATGCACCGAAATGAAAATAATGGGGCGAAATCAAAAATTCAGGATGCCCTTGGCCGGAAACCGAAAATGACTTTTTTCCTCAAATGATTTTTAAAACGTTTTTTTCCTATAAATTATTAATATTAGACTTTTTAATGAATTTAATAAATCTAATATGAACAACTTCCCTTCTCCCTTCTCTTTTAGTGGTCCCCCTCTTAATGTTCCTCTCTCCCACCTCTAGTGTTCCTCTCCCCTGCCCTCTTTTTTAGTGTTCTTTTCTCCCCTCCCCTGTCCCAGTGTTCTTTTCTCCCCCCCTCCCCTGTACCATAGTGTTCTTTTCTTCCCCCTCCCCTGTCCCATAGTGTTCTTCCACCCCCTATCCTGTCCAATAGTGTTCATTCCCCCCCTCCCCTATCCCATAGTGTTCATTCCCCCCTCCACTGTCTCATAGTGTTCTTCCCCCACCCCTGTCCCAAATGCAGTATTCTTGACTTTTCATGTCATCATTACTATCTTTCATTGTGATATATAATCATCTGAATTGTTAATGCAAGCATGTATGTTAAACTATGCACTAAAAAAATTTAAAATATTTTTTTAAAATATATACTGTATGTATTTTTTTTAATTTCGGCAAATTTGGCCCATTTTCGGCCGAAAGTTTCGGCAGCCGAAATTTTGGTGCATCCCTACTAGAAGTGCATGTTCTGGGTGTGCCCCCAATTCCTTTTTTTCTGTTTTAATTTTTAAAATGTCTATCCACTCATGAATCATGACCTAATTCCAAATCAAATTGAAAAATCTGCCAAAAACTTGAAAGTTTCATTAAGGGCCACACACATGTCAACCAAAAGATAGAATTGTGAATATCACATAGAACATCACAAAATGGTGGCAACTAAACTATAGACTTTGTGTGTCGGACAAGTGGTTTACTCAAAGAAGGTCTGAAATTAATCAATGCCTGGACTCATTGCACGAGCATGTGATAAGGAAGAGGAGGACATCAAAGTCAGGTAGGATCAGTGGTGTATCCTGGTTTTGTGCTGCCCTAGGCAGGACAAAACTCAGGCACCCCCCCGTGCCACCCCCACCCGCGCAACCGCCACCCAACCTTCCCCCCTGCTCCGCCTTCTAAATACACACACACACATTCACTGACAGATACGCATTCACTAGCTAACAGAAACACACAGTCACTAACAGACACACACTCACACACTCACTAACAGACACACACACTCACAGACAAACACACACACTAACAGACATCCACACTAACAGACACACACACACTAACACTAACATACATACACTAACATTAACATACACACTAACATACACACACTAACACTAACATACACACTAACAGACACAAACACTAACATACACACACTAACACTAACATACACACACTAACAGACACACTAACAGACATCCACACACACACACTAACATACACACACTAACAGACACACACTAACAGACACACTAACAGACATCCACACACACTAACATACACACACACACTAACATACACACACTAACAGACACACACTGACATCCACACACACACACACACACACACTAACAGACACACACACTAACAGACATCCACACACTAACAGACACACACACTAACATACACACACTAACAGACACACTAACATACACACACTAACAGACTTCCACACACACACTAGTGTTTTTTGTTTGTTTTTTTATTTAACCCCCCCCCAGCCTCCTTACCTTTGGTAATGCTGGGGGGGGTTCTTCCTCTCCCTGGGGTCCAGTGGCTGCAGCGCTGGGCGGGCGGCCGCGAGGGAGCTCTTCCCCTGAGCGCTTTGCTCAGCTCCCTCGCGCGCCGCCAGCAGAGTGAGGCTGGGAGCCGGAATATGACGTCATCAACCCGGCTCCCAGCCTCACTCTGCTGGCGGCGCGCGAGGGAGCTGAGCAGAGCGCTCAGGGGAAGAGCTCCCTCGGCGGCCGCCCGCCCAGCGCTGCAGCCACTGCCGCCCAGCGCCCAGAATGTCTGTTAGCCGCGAGGTTAACAAGACATTTGCCTTGGGCATTTGGGGGGCGGCGTTTTTTGCCGCCCCCTGAAAAATGCCGCCCAAGGCAAATGCCTTGTTTGCCTCGCGGCTAATACGCCCCTGGGTAGGATTATCCATTATCAATCTGTCTAGAATGCTAAAAACTGTTTAGATTTCTAGACTGGTTGTGTCAAATCCAAAGAGCCAAAACAAGGTGATTTCTTTAAGATACAATCATCCGCACAATAGTATCACAGGAATTTCCGAGATTTTCTTATTTTTAGTTAGTATATTTAGTATACTCCCTTCTATTTCCTTCCTCTTGCCTATCACAGACCATTGCTTAGGAGGTAGAGTCATTTTTAGTTGCTGCCGAAGATAATAGCTCACTATCCTCCTGATTTGACCCCCTCACTATTTTTTTTGTGGAACTTTATTACATCATAGCACATTCCTTTTTACTTTTACAATTCATGAGAACGGAAAGGAACAATGCAACTCAGAACACAGAAACATGCAATTGTCTCTAGTTATTAGAGCCACCTGGAGGAAAGATTAACTCACAGGAGCAAGACATCAGAAAATGAACATTGTGACGGAGTGAATTATGCAAGACAATATGGCAAAGTTGTCACAAAGTGGGTCAAGTGAGGGATTCACTAGTACAAGTTAGGCTATAGGTTTAAATTGTGGTACGTGGGTTAAGTACGGCATATAGTATGAAATATGAAAGATAGAAAGATTTATGGCATGGTAAAACAATATGTTCGGAATAAATCAAGCCAAGAGAGAAAAGGGATAATGTATGCTATAGAGTTTGAAATATTCTACAGATAAAGGTGGATTGGCTAATGTCAAGTGAGAGTATAAAGAGGGTATGTTCGGTATATATGAGTCCAGGTAAGGGATACATTAGTGGAAAGGACATTTCTAGCTGTTCAATTTACGTTTCTCTTTAAAATAAGATTGTATTTGGTTTTTGCTTTTGGACAGCGGGTGTAATGTATAATTTTTTATTTCTCAGGCAGAGGACTGAAATTTTAACTTTACCTTTCCTGTAC